TGCTAATGCAATTGTAGAGTGTTATCATAATAAATAATGGTTGGTTTATTTTGTGATATATGAAAGACTTCTAGCAGACGACATAACCAAATGACTTTAGAAGCTCCTGCAGCTAACGCTTTGTATTCTGCTTCAATCGACGATCATGCTACAAGATTTTGCTTTTTTACTTGCATGAGTTGAGTGACTTGCCCAAGAAATTACAATATCATGTTATGGATTTGCAATCTTGAGAGTTGCTAGCCCAATCAGCATCTACGAACCCTTGAAGAGTGAGGTCATTTTCGTATAAAGGTATGCCGATGTTTGTTGTTTCGTGAATGTAGTGTAGTAATCGCTTGAGAGCATCGAAGTTGGTGTTGAGAGGCTGATGCATGTGTTGGCTTAGCTGATGAACAGTAAATTGTATATCAGGACGAGTCAAGGTAAGATACTGTAGTAACCTGATTAGATGATGGTATAACTGAGGATTGGAGAATTCATGTTCGGAGGTAGGAGTAAGCACCGTCTTGCATGAAGTGGGAGTGGATATCGATTTTTCATTTTGCATACCAACTCGTTCGAGAATATGGTTGGCGTATTGTTGTCAATGGAGGAGAGTGTCGTTTTCAGTTGCAACTGCTTCAATGACAAAGAAGTGCGCCAATGATCTGAGATTTTGCATTTGAAATCTTTTGTGAAGGTTAGAGAGCAGCAGGTTTATCATGGTTTGTGAGTTGTCGGTAAGGAGGATGTCATTGACGTAGATTAAAATGTACATGCGTGTAGAGCCCATTTTATATGTTAGTAGTGATGGGTAAGAAGTGCTGATTTTAAAATCAAAATTTTGAAGATGAGTGGAGAGAGTAGCATATCATTCTCGTGAGGATTGTTTGAGTATGTATAATGCTTTGTTCAATTTGCAGATATAGTTGGGATGAGTGAATCTTGAAATCCAAGTGGCTGCTGCATATAAATTATGTCTGGACGGGTGTCGTGTAAGAAGGCATTGGAAACGTCTAGTTGATGAATTTCCCATTTGTAGTGCAGAGCGGTGAGAATAAGGACTCGTATAGTAGGCATTTTGGCTGCTAGAGTAAACATCTCTATGTAGTCAAGTCCATGTTCTTGATTAAATTCTTTTGTTATGAGTCGAGCTTTGTATCTAGCCACTGTTCCATTTGAGTTAAGTTTGGTATGAAAGATCTATTTGTAGCCAAGGATGTTTTGATTTAGTAGAGGTGGAATAAGATCCCACATAGCTTGAGCTTGTAAGGCCTAAAATTCTTGTGACATAGCTGATCGCCAATGTTCACTTTTAACAACCTGATTATAGGTTGTTGGTTCAACAAGTTGAAGGATATGAGATAGGTCAAATATTTGTTTTGGCTTGTTGTGACATATTTTGGACCGAGTTACCATGGGATGGTTGGTGATTTGAGATGAGGGTGCAGTGACTTATTGCGGCTGAACGAGAGAGGGAGACACATATTGAGTTTGTTGATTTGTAGAAGGGTCGGTATCGGGTGCAGGAGAAGAGGGAGCCACGAGTATCTTTGGGAAATTGAATTTGCTTTATGTCTAGTTGGTGGTAGAGCTGATGTGAGAGAAGTGGGTAAACCTGTTGTGGGAACTAAGAGTAAGGGAGGTGTGGTGTGAGATTGGGGAAGGGATGTAGTGGTTGAATGAAAAGATTGAGAGAAAGTAAAAACTGCTTCGTTGAAGACAACATGACAAGAGGTATGGATCTTGTTATTAACAAGATTCAAGCAACGATACCCTTTTCGAAATTGTGCGTAGCCGATGAAGACACATGGATGTGAAAGAGGGGACAATTTGTTAGGAGAATAAGGTTTTAGCCAAGGGTAGCATAGGCATCCAAAAACCTTTAGGTGATCGTAGTTGGGAGATTAGCGATAGAGGATTTCATAAAGAGATTTGTTAAAAGTGTTGGGAGATGGTAGACGATTAATTAGATAAGTGGCGGTGATGAGCGTGTCAACCCATAGATGTTGGGGAAGAGAAGAAGTGATGAGGAGCGATCTAATTGTTTCGATTAGATGGCGATGCATGAGTTTCACTACCCCATTTTGAGGTGGAGCGTATGGGCAAGTGAACTGATGAATGATTATGAAATTCTTTAGAAGATAATTGAATTTATTATTAACAAATTCACCACCCCCATCAGTGCGAAGGATATGAATATTACTACGAAATTGACATGCAATCATTATTTGGAATTCAAGAAAAACATGAATAACATCGGATTTGTGAACTAAGGGATAAACCCCAGTGTCTTTAGATAAGTCGTCAATAAACGAAACATAGAACCTATATCCTTGAGTTGAATTCGAAGGGGTGGGTCCCAAAACATCGGAGTGTATAGATCAAAAGAAAACTTGCTACTATTTTGAGAATCATTAAAGGGTAGTCGATGACTTTTAGCCATTCAAAAAACATTACACAAAGATTTTGTGGAAGAAATACAAATATTAGAAAATTATTTTGCTAAGCTAGCCAAAGTATTGGTGGAAGGATGGCCAAGTCGTTGGTGTCATAGATCGGGAACGGCTTGAATGGAGATGAGAGCGAGCATAGGCATAGAAGTAGAGGAGTCTTTGACTTGAAGCGGGTATAGTCCGTTAATACACGGACCCATGAGAAGAGTTTAGTGGGTCGTCTGATCCTTAATAGCATAACCATGAGAAGAAAAGGTTATAAGACAATTGTTATCAGTAGCAAGGCGATTAACAAATAATAAATTGAATGGAAGATTCAGAACTAAATTGAGATTAGAGATTTGAAGACTACCTTGGGGAGTAGGAAGAATTTCTCTACATATAGTGTGGATGGGGAGTTGTTGGTCGTTGCTAAGAACGACCTGATTAGAACCAGTGTAAGGGTGAGAGGTTTGAAAGTGGCTTGGATCTGAAGTGAGATGGGTATACGTGCCACTATTGAGATACCATTCTTGTGATATGGTAGGTGATGGAGAAGTGAATAATGTCGTGTTGGAAGGTTCTGTAGTATATTGATCATCATGGCTGTGTCATTATTTTATTGTTGAGCGTCCGAATTTGCCACAGATTTGGCAAGTGACGAAAGATCTTGTAGATTTTTCTCCACGAGTAGAATTTGAGTTGGTTGTCGGCAGTCAGTTGTTAAATGAGGATCGATCATGAGTTTGGTTCAATCTGCCTCGACCACGACCATGAGATGCTGTGAGAGCCATGGTGTCATGGAGATTTGTAGGTTTTGGAGTTCTTGGTTGGTTTCATGTGCAAGATTCAGTTCCTCATTGCGTAAGAGCGTTTATAGATCATCTAGATTTAATGGTTGAAGATTGGTATGAATGGCAGTCTTGAAAGCTTGGTAAGTCGGTGGGAGGTCGTCTAGTGTGTAGTGAATGACGTCAAGGGAAGCATCGGCGGGAAACAGACGAACCAGAGAGAAGAAGATGGGAGGAAGGGAGGGAAGAATAATCACGGTAGCTCTGATACCATGTTGATATCCAACGAATGAACAGACAGGGCAAAGAAACATAAAGAATAGGAAAACATAATTGTATTATTTCATTATTACAATGAATATATAGAAGAAGATACAACGTTTGAGGCTAATGATGATGTTGCAAGATAGTTGCCATGTGTGCAAGAAAGTACAATGAATTCTTGGTTACAAAATCGAGCGCTCAAAGTGACAAATTAAACGAGCACAAGATCATGGACTTCTAACATCATTAAGATGCTCAAATGTTCAGTAAATGGTGAATGATCGTGGGAGTTGATATCGATCGTCTATTAAAACACTCCCAACATGCTCTTAGTTTTCTTCCTATTTACTAGTCATACAAGAGAGAGGAAAAGAGAAGAAAAGTTAGAGATCTTTCTCATTTTCCAACCATCATCATTGTTGACGTCCACCAGCTACTATTATCAACAACCAGCTTCATCACCGATGATCAACATCATCGCCAGACTTACGCCGGCCACCTACCTTGTCAAACTTCTACCAAATAGCTATCGAACTTCCGCTTTACCACCATCAGACTTTTGCCTAATAGTCATCATTGTAAATTCCTGAATATTCATACTAAGTTCAATCCACTTCTTGGACTAATGTAGTTTGACAATCCTCAAACTTAAGAACGGGTCAATCTTTGTAACATGGTCAAAAAATAATGGAATCATTTAGACTGGGTGTGACCTCATGGTTTTTCCCTTTTTCGGGATTTTTCACATAAAAATCCTAGTTTTTATAAATTTTCTGTTTAAGTTTTGGATATCTATGCAAAGTTAGGGCAAAAAGCTCTCTTACTTTACCTCTGTGAATATTCTTGTTCGCAACAATTATCTTAATAAATATTTGATTAAAAAAATAATTCTCATCACAAAATAAAACAAATAAGTAAGTAATTCAAAATTATATAAATCGATTTCTGTTAGGAGAACAACAAGGCTCGCTTGAGAAAACCTCACCCTGAGGATCATTCGCCAGGCCCAATATACGAGCAAACTGGAATTTGTCCCAACCAAACTTGTGATATACAAGCTCATCCAAAGGAGATCCGAACTAAGATGCAATAGTCCTCAATAAGACTGCTAGACCAATCCTGACCCTGAGGGGGCACTCACCTAACAATTATGATTAAAATAATTTTTTTAAAATAAAAAATTTAAATCGAACATATGAATAGTCTAATAGTTAGAGCTTCTATCCTCTTGAAATGAGATTATTATGTGCGGTGTTCAGACAAAAAGAACCATTTGATTCTGTGAACAATAAAAGTACACTAAAAGTATAGTGATAAACAATATAGAGATTACTTGTTATAATTTGTGATTTGTGATTAAATTTATTCAGTAAGAAAAAAAATTCTAATCTATATTCTATAAATTTTAATCTATCTTTAATATTTTTTATTTTTTATCAAATATCTTTAAAAAAAAAAAAAACTCAAGTCTCACAATATGTAGCAACCTGCTCCGTTCTATAAATCTTCCAGTGGAGGCGTGGAGCAAGCCAACCTACATTGCAAGCAAAACCCAAAGCCTCCATGACTCTGCCTACCACTTTTCTCTTCTCCCTCCTCTCTCTCCTCCTCCTCCCCTCCCCCTCCGCCGCTAACGAGGGCAACATCCTCGCTACCGGCGACATCCTTCCCACCGACGGCCAGCTCTCCTACAAAGATGCCGCCTTTGTCATCCAAGGCGACTGCAATCTCGTTCTATACAACAAAGGCAGCGGCTTCCAGTCCAACACCCACGGCTTTGGCACCAATTGCACCCTCACCCTCTCCGATCACGGCCAACTCCTCATCAAAGACGGCCAAGGCTTACAAGTCTGGTCCTCTTCCGGCGGATCCAAGAAGGGCAAATACGTCGCCGTCCTCGGCCCCGACGGTATTCTCAACGTCTTCGGACCCTCGATCTGGTCCACCCCTCCACTCTCTTCTCCATCCGCTGCCATCGACGCCGAGTTGAGCAATTTACCTTTGGTGAGCAATGTGTTGTTCTCCTCTCAGATTCTACGCGAGAACTCGAAGCTGACGAGCAGAGACTACACTTTGGAGATAACGGAGGACTGTAATCTGGAGTTTACTAAGGCGTCGGTGGGAGTGGTGTGGCAAAGCGAGACTAAGGGGAAGGGGCGGCATTGCTTCGTTAGGCTTGACGACCATGGACGGCTTGCAGTGGTTAATGACCGTTACAAGGTTGTGTGGTCGAGCAAGCGGGAGGGGGTCGAAGGGGAATATGTTCTTGTTGTTCAAATTAACGGGCAGGCCGTTGTGTATGGGCCTGTGGTGTGGTCCACTGGTTCTTGATGTTTTTTGAGGGATTTTGGATCGATTTGTTTTGAGGGTTTCTGGTTTCAATAAACTGGAGGAGGAAAAATAAAGTGGTTTGTGATGATCTGTATTTGACCCAAAAGGTCTAACTAGTATTCCATTGAAATCGAATAAAACTCAGTGTTGAGTAATAGTTTATTATGTAAATTAATTATTACAAAAGTTTTTCATTTGGCCCAATTTGATGAGGTAGAATTATAAAATTTGGATTATCATTCTGTACGAGATTGAAAATGTCAAAGGAATAATAGGGAGTGGTGGTCATGAGTGTCAGTGTGAAGGTAGTCAGATGATGATAATCGAGTAATGAGAAATATTGACATTGTTAGATGGTTGAAGATGACAATTAAGTGAAAGCGAAGACGAATTTTGGTTTATGGCTTGTTGGTGTAGGCACTCTTCAATGGTCATTATAGATAGATAGAAAGATATTTAGCAATTTTAAATTCATGAACTCTCTCTAAATATAGTCCCTTTTTAGCTTGAAATGATGGCTTATTTATGAATTTTTTTTTAAGTTGTTTCAGCTTTTTTGATAAAATTTTAAACACTTTGTTAAATGACCATAAATGTTCTATCTTAAATATCTGATATTTTGTGAGCATTTGAATGTTTTAATTATATCAGAATTTAATGAAATTGAATTCAATAGATTCTTTTTTTTTTTTATATTTAGTTTATTTAAGGCAAACTCACACACACAACACATACACAAAGACTCGAATCCAATACCTCTTAGTTGGTAGCCTAAGCTCTCTACCAACAAATAAAGGTGAGTTGTGTATTCATCTCATTTTGTTATAAGTACTTTTAGATTGAAGAATTGTGTAAAGATACATGCTTTTTAGATGAATTTAAGGCTTCGTTTGGGATAGCTTTCATACTGCTTCCTAATATGTCTTGCTAGTAAAAACTTGTTTTTTTTTTGTAACTATAATAATTGAACATAATAGTCAACATAAATGTTTTGCATAATTTAGCATTTATTTGGGAAGACTGTATGGTTTTATAAAGTTGATTGTGAAGTTACTATAGGAAAAATAAATTAACTATTATAGTTGCAAAAAATAACTTTTTACTACAAACATTTTTGAAAAACAATGAGAAAGTAGTTGTCAAATAGAATTACTATTATTTTCTGAAAAGTAAAACAACGAGGAAGCTGTGTTAAATAGACTCTTAGACTTTATTTGCAGCATCTTTTCGACTGCTCTTATGCTAAGTGATACATCATCAAAAAATTATCTTGGTCGGGCATGAATCTTGAGGCAAAATGAAGTCGAAATTTTCGAAATTAAAATTGGGACCATATGAACTCCAATTTCAGCAAACTTATGGTCGATCTGAACTTCTCGAAAATACGAACCCAAAGATACAAAATTCAACTCAATTCGAGCCCAAATGAATTCGAATCAAGGGCCGAAAGTGTTGTTGGAGGGTTCAAACAACATTTTAGATTTCCAAACGGTTTCCAATGTGACATGCTTATAGTTGAATCGAGAGCTCAATGAGACGAATCCAACGAGCCCAAGATCACGGAATTCCAACATCATTAAGACTTTCAAATGTCTAGTGAATGGTCCATGATCAAGGGATTCAACATCGGTCGTCAATCCAAACCACTCCTCATTTACGCATGATCTCCCTCCTACTTTCGGGTCATGCCACTATAGGAAATCAATAAATAGAGCCCCCCTTTCTCTTAAAAAGGGGCCCCATGCAAGAAAGCAAGAGAGAGATCGAATATCGCTCTTGCCTCATCGCTCCTCCTTGACCACCGCTTGAAGTTCCACCGGTCCACCGCATGATGTCGAAGTTCCGCCAGACCACCGCATAACACTAGAGTTTTGTCGGACCAACGTTTGAAGCCCGGACTCCTATCGGACCACCACATGAGACCCAAACTTCTGCCAGACCACCACCTAAGGTCCGGAGTTCTGCCGGACCACCACTTGACACCTGAGCTCCGCTGCACCATCACCTAAGGCCAGGATTTCTACCTAACTACCGCTTGAGGCCCAGACTTCTGCCGGACCACCACTTGAGGCCCAGACTTCTGCTAGACTTACACCGGCCACCAACGATCCTCCCGACCTACGTCGCATACTACGGTCCTTCCAACCTACATCACTAGACAATGGTCTTTCTGATCCCTGTCTTCTATCGACTACGGTCCTCCCTACCTCCGTCGTCAACTACGGTCCTTCCGACCACTGTCACCTGACTACAATCTTTTTGACGTTCATCGCCCGTCAACTATGGTGTACCGACTAATGAACATATCAAACTGATTCTTCCAATTTCTACCATGTAATGCATTCTATATGATGTATACTTGTTATATCAAGCCAATGTCTTCCCTCCAATGAAGGGATTCATTTGTAATCAACTGCAAATAATAGTGGATTCATTCAAACTGGGCCTGACCCCATGATTTTTCTCCCTTTTCTGGTGTTTCCACGTAAAAAAGTTTAGTGTCTCTTATGACTGCTATACCATCTCCCTTTATTTGCTTGTGTTGGATCTTCGTAGAATGCTAAGACGTTAAACTTTATATTTCTCTACTGTTACAAATATTCCAGGACACAACACTAAGAGAAATAGTTAGTAAAAAAATGTGAGATTGACAGTTTTTAATCGTAGTTTAAATTTTTATCAATAAAAGATTATTTTTAAAATAATATTTTTTGAAATTATGAATGAGAAAAAAGCTCTTAAAGACAAAATAGAAAAGCTTAGGCTACCCCAGACAGAACCTAGTTAGCTTTTCAAAAAAATATAAGAACTTAAAATCCTGATATAACATACGAAAATTTTATTAAAAAGAAAAAAAAAGCGGTAAAAATAAAGATAAATTAAAAAAATATTTTTAAATAGTTTAGTATTATTATACAAGTTTAATTATAATTAATGTAATTATTATTACTTATGATAAATTATAACACAATTAAAAAGTTAAAACTATTATTAGTTAATTCTTTGATTAATACATGTCATATGAATGGGAGGTGTGACATTTGGCTTTTTGGTACAATTGAAATGAACAAAAACAAATTTGAAGTGATGTAATAAAACAAAGGGGAAATTTTAAAGAGTTATTTCTTACAACAGATAAATGTAGAGACGTTTGATAACATGCATTTACTCCAGAAGGAAACGGTAAAGGCTCATAGGAAATGACAGAGATAAACTTGTGTATTAAAACCTTACAAATCTATACTACTATTATAAAAGGGGCTTGAGTTTCCTTCCTCCAACAAATCTTGTTCATTTATTCTACTTATTTTTAATTATCTTGGTCATCCATTCTATTAAAAATATTTGATAAATCAAAAAATTCACATTATATAAAACTCATTTAATTTTAAGATTCCCCAAATTTCGTTTCCCTCTTCTTATTCTTCAATGCATGTTTTAATAAATCAAAAAAATTCACATTAATTTTAACGTCTCTTGAGATTCCATTTAAACTCATTTAATAAAGTTCTTTCCCTATTCTTATTCTTCTGCACCTTTTGCTATTTTATAACCTTTTGCTATTTTATATTTATTAATTACTTCTGCACCTTTCCATATTCTCCTGCATTTCGGTTTCAAAATCCAAAGTTTAGGCTGGGTTAAATGACCCAACGGTTTGCTTTTCAAAAAATTAAACACTTAACTCTTTAATTTCTTCACAGTGCATTAAATCCATCATCCTTTATAGTCTCATTAATAGCGGAACGGTTCCTGTTCATAAATTCTTCATTAAAAATACGAATGAAGAATCCGATTGGAATTCCTCCTTAGCGAATCGTGGCCCTTTAATTTTTTTAATAAATATAAGTTTTCACCGTCTCTTCGAATTCCTCCGTCATCCCATTTATTTCTTCTTTCCATTATATTTTTTAGGTTGGCTGGAGGTCTCAAAGAGTCGCTAAAGAAGCTCCTCGCTGCTGTCACGGCCGGATGAGCTCACTTCACGTGCGAGAGGAGTTCTGAAAGTGTCTCTAACATATACTATTTGTTTTTGTCGGATCGGAAGCCATGGGATGGCTCGGGCTTTGCTTTTTGGTTCTTCTTCGGCTTTGCGTTAAGGCAAGGTTTGAAATAGTCGTTAATGGAGCTTCTTCTCCTTTTTCGTTTTTCTTCGGTCTTCCATGAACGAGCTTTGGATGGTCTTTGTGAAGGAAACAATCTTTCAGCCCTTTCACAAGGTTCTTCGGCTAAATATCTTAGGTGGCTAGCTTCTTTTTTATGAATCATAATATGCAAATGATTAACTTCTAAATTAAAAGATCAAAACTAATGGATGAAAGCACTATTTTTTATTTTTAAATTCACACCTTTTCAAATTCCACGCATTTGAAGTTATTCTTCTCGACCTTTCAATCAGAAGGAAGCATGTTGAAAAGCAAAAAATTTAGTATTCCTTATGATAATCAAATAAGAAGTTTATTTTTATATAATTTACATTGCAAAAGTGGTTCCCTTTTACATTATTGAGAGAAGATCCACAATTCTTTTAAGACTCTGCCATGTGATAAATATTGTTTAATTCAATAAATCTTGTTTGAGATATTTAATTTGTATTAATTCATATCTAAAATTCATCTTTGTTTTCATTGTCATATCTTTCTTATAGATTTATTTATTTACTTTT